CGTTTGATTATATAAAAATGTTTCCGTATAAAATGACCCATGTTTTGCTGGGCACTCTTTGGGGAGCCCTTTACTGAAATTGGGTGGATCACAAATCTTTCCATCAGCGATCGGCATAGATCTCAGTCTGCAATTTCATTCTAGTCGATCGAGGTCCCTCCATTTCTTTCAGAGTCCCCCGACCTCTGAGATCTCGCAAGTCATTTCGTGTAACCAATCCGGAAAAGCAGAACAACAGACATGAACCAGTTGCCATCAAGGAGTTGGTTTTGTTTCTTCGTTTTCTCCGCCTCTCTCATCCTACTCTCTTTCTGCGTCCCTCTGATTGCCGCTCAAGTACTTATTCGACCTATTTCTGTTTTTCTTTTTTCTTTTTTTTTTGTTTTGTTTGATTCTGATGTTTGGTGATCTAATTTGTTTCCTACGATGATTAGGAAAGTGGAAGTGATGATTCAAATGCCTCAATCATTGATCTGGGCCGACGTAGTAAAGTGAGATTTGCATATGTCTTGTTTTATTTATTTATTTATTTTTTCTAGTATCGTAATACTTCACGAGGAAGTGGATTTTGTGTCGTGTGAAAATATTGCTTGATGAATCTGATTGATATAGTAGGTGCATTCATCTTAATAGGACAGCTTAACAAACTTGTAAAGTTCGATCAGAGCAGTATCATTTTGTTGTTTTTTTTTTGGGGTGCACTGGGGCTTGCATAAAAGATAGCAATCTTGAAGAATGCAACTAGTGACTCTAGGCTCTTTTGGTTTATTCATGTTTGAAGTGTGCAGTGTTATATTCATTAAACAAAAATCTCGGCAGCACAATAAGCTTAAGCTGAGTTTGGGAATACATAAAGCGACTGCGAATACTTGTCATTTTAATTTCTTCTCATGATTCACTGTTCTTATCTGCTAGAGTTTGTAATTGTTGCAAAAGTTTAGTTACTTTGTTCATGTGCCACAAAGAAGCCTAGTAATCATTTGTTGAATCTGCTGGACAGATGCTTGTAGACAAAATCAAGACTGGCCTTGTCACAGAAAAGAAAGATCCCGATTCTCTTAATCTTGGTGTGGAATTGGACTCTGGTCTTGGAGTCTTTGATGCTTTCTTTGCAAGTTTTTCCATGATACTTGTCAGCGAGGTTTGTTGAGTCTTTTCCATATTATCTTAATTTCCCAGATTTATCCTGTAAAACTTATATGCTCTGTGTCTTCTGATGATTGATGTTGTAGCCTGAGACTTTCAAATTAAGGTCTTGGTCATTACTGATTACTAGTACGTACCCCGTGCGATGTACGGGAGAGAGATATTAAATGAATTATTTTCACAGGCTCTGCGTTGAAGTCTGAGTCTGAGAAGGGTTATTATCTATTTTTCACCTATTTTAATCATCGTTAAGTCTCGTTTAAGTCTGAAAAGAGTTATCATCTATTTTCCACCTCTTTTAATCACCGTTAAGTCTAAAAAAATAGGGTTGTAATCTATTTTTCACATCTTTTAATCAGCGTTGTTTTATTAGTCAGAACATTAAACGTGAGAATGTTTGAGCTAACTTGTAAAATAATTAATATATTATCTCACTAACACATTTATACTAATATAAATTTAATTTTATTATATATATTTATTCCTTGATATAAGAGAAAATAACAATTTTACATATTCTTATTCACTATATAATAGTTAATTATTAAACTCTATTGCCATATAATGTCATTATTATTTATAAAGTTATACAAGTTGCACGTCTTCTTGTTCTTTTTATTTTATGTAATGAAACATATTTAATGCACGTTGGTATTATTTATATAAGTAATCAATTTAAAATATGTAAATAAATTTAAAAATAAATAGTGTATAAATAATGTACAAAATATACACATATATTTTTTTAGAATTTAATTTTGTATACTAATTAAACAACTTTGATTTAAGAAAAGCCATGAACTCAATCTCTTCTAATATCAATATTTTCCTAATTTGCATTGTAATGATTATTTCTTATTATATATATAGATTAGAATTTTTGCGACATCAACCAAACTAAATATCACAACAACCAAGTAACAATTATGTAAAAATCCATAACACAACAACTATCAATTAAATTTGGTAATAGAAAAATTACATACATATATATAAAAATATGAGAATTCTATATTTCTATTAACTGATGTATACACCACGTGTATATTTTGTTAAAGTATATTGGAATGTTCAATTTCATAGCATGATAACAATCAGTCTTAAAAAATCGAAAATCTTATTGAAATGCCATATTTTTCTGTTAAAAAAAAAAGTTTCCATAAAAAAATAATTATATCATAGCAAATTCATTGTGTAATTGAACAAATTTCTATAATGAAGCCCGATTTTATGTACAAAAATAAAGCAACAACTTCCACATTTTAAGGAAATCAATTAATGTTGGTCCGTTTTTTCTAAGAAAATAATAAATAAATAAATTGTAATTAATGGAAAGTAATTAATGATGAGAGAATTTGACCATATATGTTTTTAAAAATCGTAACAGAAAAACAAATATTAAATAAGACTGTATAATATGAAAATAGTAATGACAATAAATGCTGTTGACTTTTCTAGCTTCTAAATTTGGTAAATAGGACTCCCTTTAATATAAGTATAGATTCAATCCTCTAACTGTTCCAGTTAGTTGACTAATTGAATTTTGGAGCTCATGTCTTTCATGTGAAATAACTTTCATTTATTAAAAGTGGTATAGTTTTTGGTTAGCCTTGATTTGAGTTACATCTATATTTCCTTTAATGAATATTGATGACTATGCTGCTAGATTGGAGATGAAACTTTTATTATAGCAGCTCTGATGGCAATGCGTCACCCCAAATCAATTGTCCTGTCAGGTGCACTAAGCGCCTTGTTTGTGATGACAGTAAGTCAGATATCTTGTTCTGTTTCCGGAAAATGAAGTGCTCTGTTTCCTTTCATTTATGTTTCTCGTTCCTGTTATTTTATATTCGATGGATTTTTGGGGAGTTTTTCGTTTGCCAGATAATGAAAATGTATTTTACATAGCTTATGACCTATGTGCATTTATTCCAGATACTTTCGACTGGTCTTGGGAGGATTGTTCCAAATCTGATATCAAGGAAGCATACAAATAGTGCAGCTACAGGTTCCACTTACAACCTCTCTCAATAAGTTGATAAAATGATTATTATTCATTTGTGGTGGTCTTCTTGGGTGAAGGGTGTACTATTGTTAAATCTTTTTTTTTTTTTTTTTTTTTTGGTGATAATGAAGGTTTGATTTATTTTTTCCATAAAACTCCAAAGATAAATAACCTTTGCTCTCCAATATGGAATGCAAATAAATTAATGAATCCATTCAATCGATGTGGGTATAAGCCGTATCATGCACCTTCTTGTAAAAATTAAGTCTGTGAATTGGTTAGCAGCATTCTCATACTGAGTTCATGGAGAAGCTTGACCACAATAACCAATACCTAAGTTTTCAAAGAGCTATTGCTAGCTGTGTATAGAATGTTTTGCATGTTTCTATATTGGTAGCTGGAGCAACTGGAATGATATTATTGAAAAATAAGGATGCTGGAGGATCACTGTATCTGGGTGATAAAGTAGTGCTTTAGTTTATTACTGATGACTATGTCGCCTGTGTTCCAGTTGTGCTTATGCTAAGTAACTACAGTATGCATCATAGATTAGAATGCACATTCTCTTTCAAGTGTTTCTTTGTTTGTGATTTGATCTTTCATCTTGTTCCTAAATCTAAATGGAAGCGTTATTGCAGTCCTTTATGCATTTTTTGGGCTTCGACTACTTTATATTGCATGGAGATCAGATTCAAAATCTTCCCAGAAAAAAGAAATAGAGGAGGTATGTATGGATATTAAATTTCACTTGTTAGTAAAGTATATCTCATTCCAGCTGTGAAGCTGTTATTCTTTTTTAAATACTGATTTTGACCCTGGATTTGGTGTTTACCTATTGATATCATCAGGTGCCTTTACTTTTTATGTGCAATTATTATGTGGGGTTGCATCATCAATAGTTACTTAGGTTATCCCAGATGGGGGTTGAGCCAACTTACTCGTATATGCATTGCTGTCGTTCGATTTTTTATTTATTATTTTTCCATGAAAGTTTTGTCACTTTCCTGCAGCTTTTACTTGCAACTCAAGTGGGTTTATTGTCTCAGTACATCTCTTTTTCTTGTTAAATTTACTCTTCTACTGTACTTTATTGTGTGGGTAAGCATACATACCTCTCCCTGCTCCATGTTATCGCATTCGGTCAGTCCTTACTAGATTTTCTGCTCATTGTTGCACATTATACTTCAATATTTGCCATGCAATGCTTGCCTTCCCTGTGACAATTTATATTACATATTTCAGATTGATCCTGACTATGCTTTTCAGGTAGAAGAGAAGCTCGAGTCTGGACAGGGGAAAACGACATTGCGACGTTTCTTTTCGAGATTTTTTACACCAATATATTTAGAGGTCATCTTGAATCATTTTTGTAATGCCAGCAGCATCATAGTTAGCTTTTATATTATCATTTAAAATGTCTAATTAAGAAAAGGACTGCTCAACAATTTTGACTGATGTGCTTATACATTCTATTAATTTGTATTTGCAGTCCTTCATCTTGACGTTTTTAGCCGAGTGGGGTGACCGTAGTCAGATAGCAACGATTGCGGTAAGCTCTCTGTTCACTTCGCCGCAAAAGTTTCTGGTAGATGTATGTGGGCATGTGTTGTAAAAGATGAAGTAAACTGAGCTCTACATGTTCTGTCGATAGATCACCTGTTACACGGATATATTTTTTGAACAAATTAGCATACTTGCATAATAAGATGTCATACTTTAGAAACACGTTAATGTAAAAAAAATGTCATTTTTGTTTAAGTCTGCCCGATGGTTAATCGCCCGAGCTCGACTCGAAATCAAAATGCTCGAGCTTGGCTCGTAAATTTTTAAGTGGAAAAATAAAATTACCATTAAACACCTATGCTATACTAATGTAATATATATTGGGAGTATTTTAGTAATTCAACATATCTCGAGCCGCTAGGCAATGCAAAATATGGACTTTCTATGCATGAATCTGAACTCTATATAATTTTCAATCACAATTCACTAGCAGATTCAAAAGTTTTTGTTTTTAATACTTGCTTTGTGTTACACAGCTAGCCACACACAAAAATGCTGTGGGAGTTGCTGTAGGGGCCACCATTGGTCATACAATTTGTACATCATTGGCTGTGATTGGTGGAAGCATGCTGGCATCAAAGATCTCTCAGCGTACGGTTGCCACAATCGGAGGGCTGCTTTTTCTCGGCTTTTCATTGTCTTCCTACTTTTATCCTCCTCTATGATACTATTCTAAGTCCCCCATGATAATGATCTGCAAATGCTAAAAAGTTCAGGCGATTATGTTGAATGTTTGATTGATTGCAATCACTGTTGAATTCTTAGCTATTGTGTTTTTGTATAGGAAGTGTAATGCTTTACTGGATGTTTCAAGTATTTGACTGTTATAGACGTCAGCTATCTAGAAAAGTAGAATTCAACTTTTGACTCGATATATTGGACTCCGCATGCAAATGATATATGCAACAAATATTTTGAGATTAATCTTTTGGTTAGTCCGTCGCTTGCATCCAAACACAAACGATCGATGTGCGCTAAAGCCGATTGCCGGCAGCGGCAAGGAGGGTCGGACAGCGCACGACGATAGAGTAGATAGATCCAATTACAGGCATGCATATCCAAAGATTTCCAAAACCCAATTTCATGTGCCGAACGGATAAAACGAATCCAATTTGAATTCTCAATTTTAGTTTCAAAATTATAATCAAAACAATTTTAATTATAAAATTAAACCAAAACATAAAATAACACATTATTATAATCCATCATGTATAGATCCGATCAAATCAAATAGCCATTAACAGGGTCAGGAGCTTTGACACAACTTGAAAATAATCCTAACATAAACAAGTTTACGCTTGCCCTTCACATCAGCGTCGACCTTCATCCGAAAAACAGAGTAGTGTTCTTTACGAGCACTAGTGCAGTGGTCGGCCGTCTCACCGTGGAATGTTCTTCAAATGATCTTTGTTTTTTGACATATCAGAGAATATTGGGGGATGATAATTGCCGATCAAGTGTTTGGCCTTGTATTTTTTATTTATTTTTTTATTTTATTAGGATTTTTGTTGAACAAATTAAAAAAGATGATGGTTGCTTGCATCGGGATAGGGATATTGATAATGAAGAAAGACATCAGCAGAATCACACTTCCCCAAGCGACTTTATTACCTTTTTTATTTCATTTAATTACTCGATCAATTGATATTTGAAAAAGTCAAGAGACGTTTTTATGGAATACAAAACCTGTTTATTCTCATTTAAGTGGTCCGATATTTTCTATATGGGATTAAAAATTTAATCTCGTTCTTATGTCCTTAATAAAATGGTTGATCGTGTAGGGGGTAATTTACTCAATAAAATATTGTGTCTAATCCCTTATTATTATTATTATTATTCTTAATATTATTATTATTATTATTATTATTATTATTATTATTATTATTATTATTATTATTATTCAGATTGCATGTTCCGCGTGCCCATGTTAAATAATTGTTAATTGTAATTTTGTTTGTATTCCTTCGAAGTCCCATCTCCTGATCTCCACAATATATTTTCACTCCACGAGCTATATACATAGGGTCCTCTGTATCTATTCTCACTTCATTCTCATTCATACACGGCGCATTGACTTATATATATTAGTCACAGTACACAGAGAGCGACTAACGTGGTAATTTTTCAAGATTTACAGACACAATGAAAATGTCGTCATTGAACGGTAAGACCGTGATGAAATTGTTACCGGCAGCGCCTTATTGGTCGTTTTCTACTTCTTCGTCTTCTTCTTCTTTCCCACTGAAATCGGTTAATTTCAAGTCGGCGTCAATCTTCGCATCTGCCGGCGCAGCCAGAAGGGTCGTCAGCGCGTCGTCCTCTTATTCGTCCGCCGCAGCTCCTCCGTTGACCATAGGCGATGTCACAGCTGATTCAGCCATGGACGCCGTACAGAGACGCCTGATGTTTGAGGACGAGTTTGTCCCAGCCCCTTTCTTTTCCTTTTCCGCTTTATGCATTTTTACTGGTTTCCCTTATCTGCAGCATTTGTAGGTCATGAACATTGGTGGGTTTCTTTCAATTATGAAATAAGTGATGATTGTGGGGTTGGGGGTATTCTATTTTGCAAGCGAAAGTAGTTTCTAGGTTGTTTCAATTGCTTTTCGATTTCTTTTTTTCGTTTTTTTTTTTCGGTTGTAATATTATTGCCTTCTATGAAATAGAGATATTTGAAATGATCTGATACTATTATGATGGGAGGTTTTATGATTTTATTCCCCATTCATTATGCAGAGATTTAGATCGATTCTGATGTGTGTCGTCTGCAGGCCTTTTAATCTTCGTTTTTTATAACATTTTCCATGCGTGTTTTAGAGATTTCGTCTGAAGTGAGAGCTTTTGATTTATCTGAGTTTACTGGTAAAAGATTGTTAAACTCCTATATCTTCTGCAGATGTATATTGGTTGATGAGAATGATTGCGTTGTTGGCCATGATACCAAATACAATTGTAAGTAGGACCTTTTATTTTCCTCTCACAGGTCAGGTTTTTGTTTTGTCAGTCTGCCATGATAGAGTTTTTAGATTTCTACATTTGTTTATTGTCCTGTTATCTCAGAGCTGCAAATTTACATTGGTTTATTCTGCCTATATCTTGAATCATGAGTCTTTTAGCATAATTTACTGTTTTCACTGTCATCTTACATTCGTGCTGCTCGAGTAATATATTCTGATTCTTAGCACAACATTCTTGTATTAAGTATCAACAATCTTTATACATGCAGGCCACTTGATGGAAAAAATCGAGTCGGAAAATTTGCTGCACAGAGCTTTCAGTGTGTTTCTGTTTAACTCAAAACACGAGTTATTGCTTCAGGTGTGTGCTACTCGATTATAATTTTATCTTGTTCCTGCTGCAAACTGATTTCAGAAAGCTTATTCTATCTACACCCCACTTATTTAGGAATATAGAATGATGATTGGTACAATAATGTCTCGGGAGGGGTTTTTCTTGTTCCTTTTCTAATTCCTCTGGACACTAAATCGTTAGTAAATCATGCTTTATACTCGCAAAAGTTGCAATTACCATGCATTGTTTTTCCACTTATATATGTCCCATGTGCAGCAAAGGTCTGCAACAAAGGTAACATTTCCTATGGTGTGGACAAACACATGCTGCAGTCATCCCCTATACCGAGAGTCTGAGCTTATTGAAGAAAATGCTCTCGGTACACTAACTTTATTTATCCAAACAATATTTGATTATAATGTATTAATTTTGCTTTGCCCTTGAGACCAATATGTTATTAAGTGCCAAAGTTTCGATCCTGAAGGGGTGAAAAATGCTGCACAAAGGAAGCTGTTTGATGAACTGGGTATCCCTGCAGAAGATATTCCAGTTGATCAGTTTATTCCATTAGGTCGTATGCTGTACAAAGCGCCTTCTGATGGGAAGTGGGGAGAATATGAATGTAATTCACTCTCTTTCTTTGCAAACATGTGCATGTTTTTTTCTGTACCACAGTACATTCACATGTTAGCGTGTTTAAACATCAAAGCTCAGTAAGATTCTTTATCAATTTGTATGTTAGTTGGATTCTGGCTGTGTGGCTTGATTCTGATAGAACCTTTTGTCTTCTCTTATATGCAGTGGACTATCTTCTGTTCATCATACGTGATGTTAGCGTGCAACCAAACCCAGATGAAGTGGCCGATATCAAATATGTGAATCGTGAACAACTGAAAGAGCTTCTAAGAAAAGCAGATGCTGGCGATGAAGGCGTGAAGCTATCCCCATGGTTCAGATTAGTTGTCGATAATTTCCTCTTCAAGTGGTGGGATCATGTTGAGAAAGGGACTCTACATGAAGCAGCCGACGTGAAAACGATTCACAGGCTTTAGTTATGCAGCAGGCCACTGGAATGTCTTGTGTCGATTGTGCTGAAAATGGGTTCGTCAGATTAATAGGCTCGTCGATGGTAGGTTATATTTGGAAATATTCGGATCCTAAGCCATGCAATCATGTGTTGTGGTGTATAATAAAAAGCCTACTTTGACTCGTTACAGCAGTTTAGCACGATTAGGAATGCAAACGAACCGAGCGGCAGGCGTTCGAGTCAAAGCTCGACTCGAACTCGAGTTTGACCGAACTCGAGCCGAGCCCAAGTGGCTCGAGCATGTTATCGAATCGATCTCGAACATAAGTTTTGCGGCTCACTAGTGGCTCGAGATATATAGTGAGCTACTAAAATACCCTATTTATATGTAACATTACAATATTTTTATGTGTACTTAATAGTAATTTACTTGAAATTCGAGTCGAACTCGAGTCGAGCTCTACTAATCTGTCGAGCATTTTGATTTCAATCGATCTCAAACCAAACTCGAGTGATTGTCTTCTTTTGTTGAGTCGATCTCGGGCGTCATAAATTGAGCTCGAGCAGGAAAAAAAAAAAAATCAATTGCTCGACTCGACTCGACTCGTTTGCAGCCGATAACGTTTCTCCACAAATCAGCATCTGTCAAACTAATCTTTCTCACAGAACTAAACACACAAGTATAACATCAGTACATAATTTACCATGTTTCATACAACTTAAAAAATAACATAACACTAGCATAATTTTCATCTCAAATCCCACTTCACGCACTGATATCACTATATTCCCTTTTGTGTTGATATCACTTGTAGAAACACACAGACTCTGACGAGTCCCCACTGCCTTCTTCAAAATCCATCCCATGAGAAACCGAAATACTTGTGGCTGCAGGTCCATGAAGAATGGCATTGGCAGCTGCCTTCCTTTTACTCCTATTGCTAATTTTCCATCTATTCACAGATGCCCTCTCATCGGAAGATATTAAATGATCTCGAGGAGGAGGAGGAGGAGTCACCACCATGACTGGAAAGATGAGCGGCTTGAGTAAAGACACGAGAACCATAACCAGCAATATTATGAACACGTACATAGTTGTCCACACGCAGAAAGTCAACTTCCACCTGTGAACAAATTCTTTTGTCCATGGCGGCTGGGATCTCACGAAAACCTCAGCATCGTAAAACTGAGGAAGAGATGCAGTTCCTGCTCGTGGGATCATCATAATCCTGATGTATTCTGTTCGGGGATGATTGCTGCTTTCTCTATGTTTTAGTATTAGGAAGGTAATGGATTGAGTTTCAGTCGTGATGCCGAGTATAAGCGGTAAACTCATCACAAATGTCCTCGTCAGCCTGATGGGCCAGCTTCTGAACCGTAACATGCACGGCTGACTAGATTTTGCGATTATATCACCTTGTGCCGATACCAACTCCGCACTCACCTGATTTTGTCAAACACCCAAATTAATCTAAAAAATATTCAAAATAACCATTAATTATGGATGAGTCCAAATCCAATCAATAATAATTACCTGAAATATACCGAGGTCTCTGTTGTAATCGGACTCGGGCATCAAGAGAAGCAAGGATATATAATAGGTGTGGCCCACGTGGGCCGCCGGCCCAAGCTGAACCACGGCCATCGGGTGGGCCTCCGAGTAATCAAACTGCAGGCCCATCCTCGTGTAAATGGGCCCCTCGGCCCACGCTCTCACGAGGCCCACTCCTAAAACCACCGCCACAGCCAACGCTGACATCAGCACCACGCAGACGTACACTGCCGCCATCAAGCCCGCCGCTATCCTCCCCAGCAGGCGGCTGCCGTCCCGTTTTTGGTAATCGTGGCCGGCCGGCCGGCGAAAGAAGGAGAAGATAGAGAAGAAGGGTGAGGCGAGGCTGAGTAGGCACGTGGAGAATATCTGGGCTTGGAGAGTGAGGAGGTTTGTGAAGAATAGGAAGGGGCTGGGGAAATTGGGGATATTATCGACGAGCTTATTCGTGTTGTTATCAATTAGGACCTCATTTTCGGACGACGCCATTAACAAGGAGTTTAATGAGAGAGTAATTATTGTGTGTTAAGCGAACTCAAGAAATGAGGATGGTCACAAATGTAATGAAATGAAGGGTAAAGCAGTGTGGGAGTGGATAGAGGTAAAGGACATGCACAACCATGAGCTGACACGTGTAATACATATTGGGTGGACACTCTACAAAATATATGTTTGTGGACTTTTTTCGCCCTGACCGGTGATTGATTTGCTGCTCCACCAACTCCTATCACCTTGTTATCATCGTTTTCTTTTCTTTCCCTATATGGTCAACTACCAGTTAGCACGCCTGTTTTTTTTTTTAGCCCCATTAGATCAATCTAAGTTCTTACAAGTTACAAACAGAGGAGAAAAAAAAAAATTAGAATACAATTCGACCATATTATTGTGTTTTTGACTCCACTGCCTACTTAGCAATGACGTTGCGTTTGATGTTAGAAGTGTAATAAAATTAATATAAATTGATAAACAATAAAATATTTATAATAAGTAACTATGTAAATATAGAAATGTAGAATAAAGATTATTTTTATTAAATGCTTTTTTATATATAACATTAATTGGTTGATGGATTGATTTTATTATCACAATCGTCGTTCCAATTAATAATTTTTAGTTTGTAACACTGGAAAGAAAACATACAATGAAACTAAGAGAGATTTTGGGGAAGAAACTTCTCCATTTTCATTTCTGTATTTCTCAAGCAAGGAAAAAATAGGTACGTACAGTAGTCACCTTATACACGTAGCATGCATCTAGCAAGAAACGTCGTTACTTTGACAAAGTCATTTCAATGAAAACCAAAACTAAGAGATATAAAAGTGTGTTGAAGAACACGTTTAAGCAACAAGAAACATAAACAACAAAAATTCAAAATGTAAACCGAGTAACTTCAACACCCCCTCCTCAAGTTGTGAATGAGGACAAAGCAACCATGCACAACTAGCCAATCAGTGCTCGAAAATGTGATCTTGTGAGAACCTTGGTGAAATGTCCGCTAGTTGCAACTGAGAAGGAACATACTGAGGCAACAAGAAGCTGAACTTATGTTTATCTCTCACAAAGTCATGACAATCGATATCCAAATGTTTAGTGCGTTCATGGAATGATTCGTATTGATGTGAAGAGTTGTCCTATTACCACACCATAAAGGAATGGGATATTGCAGTACAAGGTGAAAGTCATGAGCAATGTAGAAAATCCACAACAGATCGTCGAGCCCATACCCCTATACTAAGCCTAAGCTGAAGATTTTGACATGGTGGGTTTCTTCTTATTTTTTTAATAGACCGGACAACCTCCTAAGTAAACACAATAACCAGCTATAGATCTCATTGTATCGTTACATACTGCTCAATCAACATCACAATAGACCACTAGTTCAACCAGCTAATAGGCTCTGAACAAGTAGTGAACAAGTATTTATATTTTACAAGAAACCGACTAATATGATCTTTTTGTAAATTGACACATCGAGCCACATAATCTACAATGTAAATAGAGGAACTATGCTCGCATAATAAATAAAGTGCAAACATTCACTTGACTAAAACATGAATTTCATTTAAACGGTATTGTCAGAAACTGAAAGCCGTTGTTTTACAATATACTCGCACAAGAAAGACCTAGTGAAATTGGGTAGCTCGATCGTGTGCTGGAGGACCTATATGGTCCCGTAGTCGTTGGGATTGGGCCCTCCGACGATGCAAATCACGAGCAAATTCTCGATTGGTGAATTTATTCATTTATTCCTTCAGCTCTAAACAAAAAAAAAAACAAGCATGGTTGATTTATTCGACATCATCTTTGGCGTCGAAATCGGCGCCCTCCTCGCCGCGATGCACGTCGCTGACGAAGGCTCTAGTCGTCCATTGTACTCCACGAGGGCTTCGCCGTGTTCCTGATAGAGAATCACAGTAGGGAGAGCATATGGCTGACGATGATGATTGAGTTTGCATGGCGGCAATGAGATCTGCGACTGAGTTTGCATACGACTTCAATGCAGTGTGGAGCGGTCGCGCGATAGAAGGACGGCGACGACAATGGCGTTGACGGAGGAGAAATATGGGTGGAGGCGGAACCAACTCTGGTGGGACTTGTTTGATAATGGGGAGAAATAAACGAGGGAGAGTGCGGGTGGGAGAGATAGATAATGGGTTGTGGGTGGGTGGTGGTTGGGTGGATCCTACGAGTACGATGAATGGGTTGGTGGTTGGGGTGGGTCCTAGGAGAAATATCCATAATGNAAAGTATTCTTTATTGTTGTTGGATCATCAAATTTAATGGCTAGTATGTACTTTCATTCCTCTCACTATTGTTCATTCTCAATAGTTTGTCTCTATATATAGAACAATGATATAAGTACATAATATGTATAGAGATGTACATAACACTCACATTAAGTGGGTTCTATCAAAAAATCAAGTGTACCTCACTTCATTTGAGTATTATGTATATCTCTATAACATTTATTATATATTTGTAGCATTTTTTCTATATATACATATATGCATGTGTGTGGTGTGTGTGTGAGTGTGAGACAAAAATATCAATTTGATAAATTAGGTGCAAAATGTGGCTACCATTTTAAAAAATTAACTTTGTTAAATTTTGAATTATTAATTGTATATATTTTTTTTCAATTTTATTATAAGAATATAAAATTTACTTCGTTCTTTTGATATAAATAAATTTTTTTATGCACATGTTCACAGATGCTATATCAACTATCGAATAAATTAATTATTTTATTTAAGTTTAATAAATGAATATATCTTAAATAGAATAAATAATATTTTGTACAAAATAATTTTTGAAATTTGAAATAATTTGTTATTAACTATTTATAAAGACGGCGTTTGGCTAGTGTATTTTATTGAAGAAAGAGGAGCCCGAACTGTTAGAAGCGGTATTCGATATAAAAAAGGAGGCCGCTGAGATTAGAGAATAAGCAGACAGATGCAGATCTGAGGATTGAATTATTCTTTGGAATTGGAAATATAAAGAATTTTATCAAACGGAAACCCGCACTCGCTTCATCACCAATCTCGACTCCACTATATTGGTAACGTAATTTCCATTTTGTTTCTTCATTTGATTTTCTTTAGGTTTGAAACCCCTTTGAATTGGTCGATATATTCGTGGTAGATCTTTTGAATCGATCGATATATTCGGGTTAATCGTTATATAGGCCTCGTTTTTTCTTAACTAGCTAGCTTTATGCAGTGGATTTTTGGAATGCTTACATGTGCTGGTATTCTGTAAAGTTGGCTATGGATCCCCCATTTGTTGAGGTTTCTACTGATTAGGCTTTGTTAATTTAACAATATTTTGATTCTGCGCATGATGACACTCTTAATCTGAGCGGTCACTTTGGAAGTGGCATAATATTTCCGAATCTTGGTACTGTTGCTTGAACAGAATTGCTTATGTGATTAGTTTTAGCCCACTTCTGACTTGTGGAATTTGATTTTTTTTCCTCTTTAAATGTCGGTCTATCCAAATCCTGCTGTCTTTATGAAACTGCATTATGTTGACTCCTATGGCTGAATAATGGGGCAGAGAAATATAATTTCAGAAAATCGTGCAACATAACATTGTATTACAATATCCTCATCTATGTTTTATCCACCAGGTAACAAGTGGAAAATGGAGAAATCATGTTCCTTGCTGGTACATTTTGACAAGGGGACACCGGCTCTTGCAAATGAGATCAAGGAAGCCCTTGAAGGGAATGATGATCAAGCTAAGATTGATGCCATGAAAAATGCAATAATGCTTTTGCTAAATGGTGAAACCCTGCCTCAGCTCTTCATTACTATTGTGAGATATGTGTTGCCCTCTGAAGATCATACTGTTCAAAAGTTGTTACTGCTCTATCTGGAGATCATTGATAAGACTGATGGTAAAGGACGTGTCTTACCCGAGATGATATTAATCTGCCAGAACCTGCGGAATAATCTTCAGCACCCTAATGAATATATCCGCGGTGTAACACTGAGGTTCCTCTGCCGGCTCAATGAGGCGGAGATCATTGAACCTTTGATCCCATCCATTATGTCAAACTTGGAGCATCGACACCCTTATGTTAGGAGGAATGCAATTCTTGCTGTTATGTCCATTTACAAGCTCCCACAAGGCGAACATCTCTTGGTTGATGCACCTGAGACGATTGAGAAGTTTCTCTCGACAGAGCAGGACCCATCTGCTAAGAGGAATGCATTCCTGATGCTTTTTAATTGCGCTCAGGACCGTGCTATTAATTACCTATTGACCAATGTTGACAGAGTATCCGACTGGGGTGAACTACTGCAGATGGTTGTCTTGGAGCTGATCCGAAAAGTTTGTCGGACAAACAAAGATGAAAAAGGGAAATATATAAAAATCATTATATCTCTGCTGAATGCCCCTTCAGCAGCTGTCGTATATGAATGTGCCGGAACTCTTGTTTCTTTATCTTCTGCTCCAACAGCTATTAGAGCTGCAGCCAACACATATTGCCAGCTTCTTCTGTCCCAGAGTGACAATAATGTTAAGCTCATAGTGCTTGACCGTCTAAACGAGATTAAGTCCTCCCATAGGGATATTATGGTTGACATGATTATGGATGTCCTGAGGGTATTATCTAGCCCAAATCTTGACATTCGTAGGAAAACACTTGATATTGTTCTGGAACTGATTACTACCCGCAATGTGAATGAGGTGGTTCTTACATTGAAGAAGGAAGTCATGAAAACTCAAAGTGGGGAGCTTGAGAAGAATGGGGAGTATCGTCAAATGCTCATCCAAGCCATTCATTCTTGTGCTATAAAGTTCCCCGAAGTGGCAAGCACAGTGGTCCATTTGCTGATGGATTTCTTGGGTGATAACAATGTAGCATCTGCCCTGGACGTTATCGTTTTTGTTCGAGAGATTATCGAAACCAATCCCAAATTAAGGGTTTCTGTCATCACAAGACTTCTGGATACATTCTATCAGATTCGAGCGGCAAGGGTATGTTCTTGTGCTCTTTGGATCATTGGAGAGTATTCCCTGTCTCTTTCTGAAGTTGAGAGCGCCATTGCAACTATAAAGCAGTGCCTTGGGCAGTTACCATTTTTTTCACTCTCTGAAGAAGAGGAGTCAGCTGATTCTTCAAAGAAATCTCAGCAGCCTACCTCGATTACTGTTTCATCCAGAAGACCCGCTATCCTTGCTGATGGGACTTATGCAACTCAAAGTGCCGCGTCTGAAACTTCTTTCACAGCTCCTGCTGTAGTTCAGGGATCTTTGGCTTCTGGGAACTTGAGATCTCTTCTTCTCGCTGGTGATTTCTTCCTTGGGGCTGTTATTGCCTGCACCCTTGCAAAGCTCAGTCTAAGACTGGAGGAGGTTCAATTATCAAAGATAGAAGTGAACAAAGCAAAAAGCAATGCCTTGTTGATTATGGTTTCAATGCTACAGCTTGGACAATCTTCAGTTCTGCCACATCCAATTGATAATGATTCTCATGACAGAATTGTTCTTTGCATAAGATTGCTGTGTAACACCGGTGATGCTGTGAGGAAGATCTGGTTGAAGTCATGCCGTGAGAGTTTTGTTAAAATGCTTTCAGATAAACAGCTACGTGAAACTGAAGAGATTAAGGCCAAAGCTCAGATTTCTCATTCACAGCCTGATGATCTTATTGATTTCTACCATTTGAAGAGCAGAAAGGTGAAAAATGCATTCACAGATTGTTTCCTTTAAACAAAAATAAAAATAAATATAGGGGTCTGGCTGGGAGGGGGAGTATAAATTCCTAAGAAATTGCAAGGTACAGGGATCGAACCCTATATCAACTAGTGCAAAACCCTCATAAAGGGTGAGAAGTACCACTTGAGCTACAAGCTCGTGGTATTCACAGCTTGTTATGTATTTGGTTAATACAAATATGATCGCACATCTCGTTTGGTTCGAATTACTAAAGAGTACCTAAAAGAACTTTTCTTTGTGGATTAGGTAATTTGGCAACTATTTTTAATTACCAAAATATCATTTCACGTCTTCCATTTTAAAAGTTTTTTGAAGAAATTTTTACTTTAGGATTTCAAAGAAATGGTATTCTGTTAGATTTTTTCTTCGTGTTATTTGAATTGATTGTTACAATGTTGATGTAATTTTGATAAACAAAATAAGTGGAGAAAACATCNACTTTAAGTTTTTTTCCCTTGTCTTTGTTGCTGTTTGATTGTGTTATAGCTGTTGACTTGCTCAATGCTTATGGCTTCTATACTTTACTTTTTAAGTCAGTTCTTATCATTATACATGATTGAGGTGGGCATATTTGTATTCTGAATGTCAAGCAGGGAAAGGAGTTTGTTAGTTTCTAGGTACCATAATGATGGTAATTTCTTGTGTATGTAGTTGACATTTTATAATAATTGTATCAATATTGTCATCTCCACTCCAGGGAATGACCCAGCTGGAGCTGGAAGATGAAGTTCAAGATGATCTGAAACGTGCTACTGGAGAGTTTGTTAAGGATGTGGATGATACCAATAAGCTCAATCGTATCATTCAACTCACTGGATTTAGTGATCCAGTCTATGCTGAAGCTTATGTAACAGTTCATCACTATGATATTGTCCTGGATGTTACAATTATTAATCGAACGAAAGAGACCCTTCAAAACTTGTGTTTGGAGTTGGCGACGATGGGCGACCTTAAACTCGTGGAGCGTCCGCAGAACTATACTTTAGCACCAGAGTCGAGCAAACAAATAAAATCAAACATTAAGGTGTCATCTACTGAGACAGGAGTCATATTTGGAAACATTGTTTATGAGACGTCAAATGTGCTCGAGCGGACTGTTGTTGTTCTCAATGATATCCATATTGATATCATGGACTACATTTCTCCGGCTGTTTGTAGTGATACGGCATTTAGAACCATGTGGGCAGAGTTTGAATGGGAAAACAAGGTATTGTGGTTACTTAGTGCTCTCAAATGTTGCCGTAAACTATTATTATTTTTGTTAGATCCATTATTGTAAACTATTATTATTTTAGCGTCATTACTGTTTGGACTGCTGTTTACCTTTTTGCATTGCCATAGTAGTTCCGTACCTTTTTTTTTAGTTTGGGGATAAATTGTAAATGAAGTTTGTGTGTTTTCATTTATAACGGACGTCCAATGGAATATGGGCTGAATAATTCATGTGGTATTGTGGTACTTCATAGCCTTTCTTTTTCTTTTTTTCTTTTTTTTTCTTTTTCTCCGCAGTTGGATGCTTAGTTTTATATGTACTTATGCTTATGAGGGAATTGGGTATTGTGCTTCTTTATCATTGTTGTACTATTATGTTTTTTTTCCTTTTAGTTGTCTTCCTTTCTTTTTTTTCTTTTACCACTCCTGTGAAGGACATCATCAACATATATGTTTTCCGTGGCATATATCCTTTATTTTCATAAGCTAATGGGTCCTGCTAAATCTTGTTTCTTTCTTCTTTGGGGGTGGGGGTGAAAGCAAATGTCATTCCGTCTTGTATATACTTGATCTATATTCTCTTTTCTTTGTATGGTTGATTTGTCCTCTGATATGCTTCTCTCGTTCTCCAATTTGCTTCTCGTTTGGCAGGTTGCTGTAAATACCACAATTACAAATGAAAAAGAATTTCTCGATCATATTATCAAATCAACCAATATGAAATGCCTGACTGCATTGTAAGTCATTCATGATCTCTTTCCTTCATGTTTATGGTGATTTTTTTGCTCATCTTTCTAAATTGCGATCTAGTGAAATAGTTGTATTCCTTTTCTATGCTTCTTATGATTGAATGATTTTATGCTTTATCTTTTGGCCTTTGATGAAAATTTGCTTGCTGAAGCTAAATAGTTCAATTATATATTTATGTTTTATTTACAACTGTTGTCATCTCTTTTATGGAGTTCTACTATAGACTGCATACAATATCAGAGGCCAAAAGGTTACAACTAATACTTAAAGAGTTTAAATAGATCGAGTAGGAAAAATATGCAACTGTGTGAGCTTCAATATTGATTGTTGTGTTCGATGAACATTAATTGAGTTGAGCTTCAATGGGCTATGTCCCAGCTGATCATGAATTTGAGTCGAGTAGCTAAATATATGTACATTTTTATTTTTCTTCATGAAGCTCGCTCGAACTCTACATCTTATTGAATGAAATGTCGTGTTTGAATTTGGTTGATTATTGTGAACATACGAAGCAAAAAGAGCTTCTGCTGTGCAATATCAAGGTGTTTCTCAGACTGTTCTGTTTGTTTTTCAGTTCTTCTCATGGATCACACTGAGTAAAGTTGTAAACGAGTTAAATGCTAACATGAGATGCATTGCCATCATTTTTTTGCCCCCAGAAAATAGTCGATTATCTTCTGTTAACTGATGTGTCTTAAACTGCTTAAAGCTGACTAGGTATTTTGCCAATCATGATTTATTTGGTCAAAAAATACTTTGCTCGCATTACTAAATTTCTTTCAGCAATCATAGATTTTAACTTGCCACATTCTTATTGTGTGTTGCATGCATGGTTTTTCTCCAGATCTGCTTTAGAAGGTGAATGTGGATTTTTGGCTGCAAACTTGTATGCAAAGAGTGTATTTGGGGAGGACGCGTTGGTAAATATAAGTGTGGAGAAACAGGATGATGGAAAACTGAATGGATATATTAGAATAAGGAGCAAAACTCAGGGAATTGCTCTCAGCTTAGGTGACAAAATCACCCTTAAGCAGAAGGGAGGAATTTAAACGGTAAATTTTCTTTTATGATGTGATGTCTTTTGTTTTGTGTTTTCTTCTTTAGATTTTGTCCGAGTCATTTATCTATTTATTTTTCCTCTCTGGTATATTCTACAGGTGTCTGTGGTGCCATTAGAAGCCCTTATTTGCAGGAGTTCAGTTTGGAGTTCATATATTTTAATTCTAGTACAAGGATGTTCGAAAATTTTATCATTGAACTGTATGTTCTGGGTATTCTTTTTGTAGATTTGAGAGATGGTCGGATGTATCCTTACTACTATAGCCCACTTTTTCTTGAGATTTGTTTTGTGTTGAATGTTTTTTACTGCAGAACCACATGTTACCCTGGCATTTTACCTTTTTTTTGCGCTAATGCATCTTGGAGGCTGGCTTGGATGAGAATTACGGCTATGTTTGTTAGCCAAATAAGTTAGCTTATAGCTTATTTGGTTAATTTATAAGCTTACTGTATTCAAATAAGATTCGTTTAGTAGGGCGAGTTTTTTTGAAAAACTCAAGCTTACTTCGTAAGCTTATTTGAGTAGTTTTTTTTAAATAAGCTCATTTAATTTCTCATTAAGTTACTTTTATTAAACACTTTTATCATATAAGTTAATTTTTTTAGCTATAAGTCATAAGTTATAAACTATAAGCTCGAAAATCACTTTTAGGCTATAAGATAGGTTATCAGTTAGTATTACCAAATATAGCCTACGTGGGTTGTTCTCTTCAATTATAACTTCCAATTATAACAATTATAATATCATACCTAGACATGGCTAAAACCTGGGCCTCTCGAAAGTGGCTGACTCGGAATTGGCCTTTATCTAGGTTTGTGTCGGGTTGGTGACCCGTTGGGTTGGGTCGGGCCGTGCTTGACTCGAGTCTGGGATTCGTCCTAAAAAAAATAAAAAATAAAATGAGAAATATGGTGATTTCCCTGGCCGAACCAGACTTGGCCCGGCCCGTCGGATCAAGGTCGAAAAAACATGGCCCTGAGGTGAATGATTTATAGTATTGGACGTGTTTGATTGTTAGAGTTGTTGAACCTAGACTCGTATGAGGTGGACGTGTTCTTCTTATCCAATTAAACAACTTTTAGAACCGAAAGGGTATGAGTTGTTCGACGTAGGCTCATATAGAGTAGACTTGTTCGTAAAAGTATTGTCTATGTATTATTTGATTGAACGAGTTTGTTGTTTATGTGTGCTCTTGTTACGAATAGTTATTGAGCATAAACCTATAGACTGGCACCGTAGAATTTCTGCTTATTTTTTAGTTATTTTATTGTTATTTAATTGTTTTAATAGTCTTTAGATAGTTCAATTAAACTCCAATCTTGATTAGAATATTTAACACTTATTTTGCTTTTGTGTGTGACCGATACTAAATATCGATTTCAAACCGTCTCTCTCGAAAGATCGACCCAAGATCGAGATTCATTCCGTACAGGTAAAAAAGACCCAATTTGCTACAAAGTTTTAACACATTTTATTTAGTAAATCAAATTAAATATAATTCAAAAATACTTGTAATCGCAAAGCACTATCTCTCTTTCTATAACACTTGTCCTACATAGTTCAATTAAACTTCAATGTTGATTAGGAATTAGGATATTTAACACTTATTTTGTTTTTGTGTGATCGATACTAAATATCGATTTCGAACCGTTTCTCTCGAAAGATCGACCCAAGATCAAGATTCATCCCATAGATGGTAAAAAAGACCCAATTTACTACGAAGTTTTAACACGTTTTATTTAGTAAATCAAATTAAATATAATAATCCAAAAATATTTATAATCGCAAAGTACAATCTCTCTTTCTACAACACTTGCCTACTCCTCTACACGGGACTAATTGTACTTCCAGAGTTCCACTGATGCGGTGTTTTCGTTTCCCCAATAATTTTTTGTACCCTTTTCACACTTCATTATTATATAAATATAAATTCGCCTCTCTTCCCCTTTTCCTGTCTCTCTCTATCTCACCCTCTCTCTCTCTCTCTCTCAAAACTTTTTCCTTTGCGTCGTGAGAGTCTCTACAGACTCTGCCCTATCGCCGTTTCCGCTAAATTCGGTTTATGAGGTGACGCTGTTGATCCCTTCGTTAATTAATTTTCCTGTGATTTTGATTCACTGCCTTTGGGTTTTCATAATCAGATCTGGTAGCTCAGATCTCAGATTTTCATTTTATGAGATGAGTACCATTATTATAAATCATTTGTGGTCATTATTGTAAATCATTTGTGGTTGTTGCTTCGAGGTTGTGAACGATGATAATTTGATCTTGATTTATCATCGTTTTATTGCCGTAGACTGATTTAGCTAAAAATTGTTTCGCTTGTTTCGTAGTCTAATCATTTTATAAATAGAGGAGATTAATCTGTTTACGTGATCGGGAAGATCTTTTTATGTTGTATTTTCACATCGTTATTTATGTTTGGAGATGCGATAAATATCCTAATTCAGTCATCTTTTTCTTCTTGCCGTGCAGCTCGAAGGAGAAGCCCACTCTCGGGTAAGTCGCTTGACAGCTTTTGAGAAAAGTGTCCTATCACAGTTGTTATCAAACTTTGGATATAATATTTGCAGTTGCCTGATGTTTCCTTTATCGAGCTTATTAAGAACATTTTTATTTGCTGAAAGATTCTGAAAGTATTTTCTTTGTGCTTTTACTTATTTTAATGCAAATGCTAGTTTAATCATTTGTTTATACTTCATCGTTTTTGTTTCTCGGTGAAGACCTTTTGAGTAGTCATTTTAGCCCCTTAAATTGATATCTACGATTTTAATTTCTCATGATGCCTCAAGTAGTCAAGTTGATCAGTATTGTATTTATATGGATCTTTGAAAAAAAGGATATTGAGCTTTAATGCTGTTTGTTCTTCCGTTAGAGATTTCTTATATATATACAACTCAACTACAATCTAATCAATCAACTTGTTAACTGTTAGGCTAAACTAAATACAACCTGATTATTAGCCTACCAGAACACACAACCTAGCCCACTACAATGTAACTACCATTTGACCACACTAATTATCCTGACATACTGATGTATGGTTATTGGACCTATAATTTCATTGCAGAGGCACGCGGATTAAGACCCGCAAACGGAACATTGCTGCGCCTCTGGACCCTGCAGCATTTTCGGATGCAGTGGTCCAGATTTATTTGGATAATGCTGGTGATCTGGTACTTCTTTGTTTTTGTGTGATTTTTCCGTTAACAAATGGGCTGCATCTTGACTATCTTTAACAGGGGTCTGTTTTTAATTAGTATTTGATCATAAGTGGTAATTGATGTCAATGTCCAGGAACTTGTAGCAAAGAGTCTTGAGTCTTCGGACCTTAATTTCTCAAGATATGGGGATACCTTCTTCGAGGTTAGTTTATATTTTGTTGCTGTTAGTATGACGTCACTCAATATGCCTGAAACTAGAAGCATCATTTACAGTGATGTGCAGGCTTTCCCTCTCTTTTTTTTTTTTCCTAGTCCATGGAATTATAATTTATAACTGTGTACTTTGCTTTTCTTATCAATTTTTCGAGGTATTACTCCACCTGATATTTTTTTGTGGTTGAGGTATTATGTAATGGATTGTGGTATCAATTTGTGACATTTCACAAACAATGAGGCCTCTTTCTATTGTAATAGAACTGTACTAACAGTCTACATCTCCTTCCTATGGTTTCTGTAAACGCTTTCAGCATTTGAATGTTAAAGAACACAGTTATCATGGAGATGGTATTCCCCTATTTTTGGTATGTAAATAAGCTTGGCATGCCTTACTACTACCTTGGTCGATTTTTTTTCCCATGAATCCAGGTTGTCTTCAGAGGGGCTCGTACACAACCTGGTACAATCAAACTTGATGAGGGGGAGTGCCATCCATACTCCATACTTGCCGGTGAGCCTAGCCGTGAAGTCATTCTGCCGTCTGTGATCTATGTGCAGAAAATCTTGAGGAGAAGGCCTTTTCTCATCAAGAATCTTGAAAATGTCATGCAAAAATACTTGCAATCTTTGGAACTTTTCGAAGAGGATGAGAGGAAGAAACTTGCAATTTTCACCGCGCTTGCCTTTTCACAGAAGTTGTCCGGTCTCCCGCCTGAGACTGTTCTCCAGCCACTGCTCAAAGATAACCTTGTAGCCAAAGGGCTGGTTCTCTCTTTTGTCACTGATTTTTTCAGGGAGTATCTGGTTGATAATAGCATTGATGACCTCATCTCTATTCTGAAGAGGGGCAAAATGGAGGACAATCTTCTTGATTTTTTCCCATCTACAAAGAGGACACCTGAAGCTGTATCTGAACATTTCACGTAAGTGCCTCCTCTCTCATTAACAATTCAACGGATAATTTGTGGAATAAGTAGTCCATCCACAGGTCCCAGCACATATATGCGTCTATGTATGGGCCTGATAAATGCTGTATATGTTTCCTGTTTATTATATAATTTTGCTTAGTGCTCATGACTGACATGTTGAGGACAGTTCGGATATTGCTAGATTTGGCTGTGTTTAGTGTTGTTCATGTTAGGTTCACTCTGAAAAGTATGCTCTTCCACTTCAGTCTTCATCTGCAGGTTAATATTAAAGAAATCCAGCTTAACTGTATTTTGGTGCTTATGTCGACTTCTCATGATTGCAATTAGGAAGTAGACTTCATTTGTTTCTTTAGCTCTAATAAGATCTAAGAAATCTGTACAAAGCAACAACAAATGCCTTCCATTTTTTCTGGAGTTCTTCAGAGTGCTTTCAATCTTCTCATTGATTTTTCAGGAACAATCCTACACACACACACACACACACGTGTATGTGTGTATGTCCCCTCCGTCAAACTTAATGCAGACAAGTTAATCATTGTGTGACATTGGCTTACATAAAACTGAAAGCAACATCTTTATGTGTGTGCTGAGCATGTCATCCCGTTTTAGTCACTATTTGCAGAAATTTTTCTAATAAGCAGTATGAGATGATGAGAGGAAATGCATACAATTCTGTGTCGTGTTCTCTGAAAAGAAGTTTTCATATTGAAACTTAAATCTTAATCTAATGAGCAACGGATTATGTTTTCCCCAGTAAGGAAGGGCTTCTACCATTGGTTGAGTACAATGAAAAGAAGATATTTGATGTGAAGCTGAAGGAAATGAAATCTGCAATCACAAGTCAGATAGCAGAAGAAGCTGATGTGGCTGAAGTAATCGAAACTGTGAAACAGCATGTTAAAGATTCTAAATTCCCAGATATTGAGGTTGTAAGAATTCTTTGGGATGTCCTGATGGATGCTGTGCAGTGGTCTGGAAAAAATCAGCAGCAGAATGCCAACTCTGCCCTGCGTCAGGTATGGTTCAACATCAATTCTATATGTCTTTTGTTCTGGGTTTTAAGTTTGACAATGCTAGATATGGATTTCTATTTGCGTTTGTTGAATTGCATTTGTTTATATGTTCAATTGCTTTACATTGATAATATCTTGAGTTGACAAATATGACTGAGCTGTACCATGCAACTGATACTCTATTAGTCAACCTGGATCCTTTTTTCCCCACCTAGACACTTTGCTCATGCTGCACATTTTCTCGATTGAGTGAATTGTATTTACTGAAAAAAAGCAAATCGCTTCACAAAATGCTATTCTTGTGCTCAGGTAAGAATGTGGGCCAAGTTGCTAAATGCCTTCTGCACCACTGGGAAGCTGGAGCTTGAGCTTATATACAAAGTTCAGGTCCAGTGCTATGAAGATGCTAAACTCATGAAACTGTTTCCTGAGATAATAAGGTCCCTTTATGATCAGGATGTTCTTGCAGAAGATACCATTCTTCACTGGTTCCGCAAAGGAACAAACCTGAAGGGCAGGTATGCTCTCTCTCTCTCTCTCTCTCTCTCTCTCTCTCTCTCTGTGTGTCAGTGTAGATGCATGTATTTATTTTGTTCCTTTTTTTTTCAAGAAAAAGTAATCTCTAAGCGTTATGATGCTGCTAGAGTTTATGTTTGGGTTGTGTATCATATCATGAAAAAGTTCTTTGGTGGTTTCTTTTATGCTGATTTTCTTCTCTTTGTGTAACCAGATATCTAGAGAGGATGGTTTTTCTTTTAGTCTAGCTGTAACTATATACTGCCACTTCAAGCATTTAGCTGATCAATATTTTGCTTACTATATATGTTGCTTGTTGAATTTTTTTTGGTTCTCCCCGGAGCTGATTTTATTCTAATTGGGGATAGATTTTAGCCAAAACTCATGTCAATGTATTTGTTTTAGTTAGATCTGTCTGATTTTTATTTTTATTTTTTATTTATTTTTTTTTGTGGTGTTATAGTTCATGCATCTAATGTTTTAAACACATTATGGGTTTTTATTTTTGGTTGTAGACAATCATTTGTGAAGGCGTTGGAGCCGTTTGTGAAATGGCTAGAAGAGGCTGAGGAAGAAGAGTAATAACGTCTCCAGTTGACTGCCTTTGTTTCCAATTACTAGTTTGGTCATTCTCTCTTTGAATATTGTTGGTTTGGTTTTTCATATTTGTCTGTTTTTGTTATTTGATAATGGGATGATGTTAAGATCTCTGTTGGATTTCTTTTAATGAGACTCGTTTTTTAATGCATTTGTGCCTGTGCTGATTGTCTGCAGTTGTTTCGTTGTTTTTATATGTTTAGTTATTTATTCATTTCTTATAATTAGATATGCATTTAGATACTTCTTATTTAAATATATTATATTACTGAGTCATTTGTTTAATCCTTAAGAAGGCTTTAGGAGATTAAATCCTTTCATATTAACGTCCTAATTATTATTGATCATTTTAAGTCCTAGAATTAGGAATAAGTACCTTTTCTAATCCATTAAGTGATATTTTTGAGTCAATTGGAGTTAGAAATGGCTCCTTGCATATCATAGGGGTTCAACATGTTATATAAGTGGTTTTAGGGTTATTAAGAGTATCTATTATCATCCATCATGTTCTCTTCTTTTTTNNGATCGAGATCTCACTAAAAACCGAAATGGACATCATGTATTGTCTTTTCGGTTTCTTCTATCGTTGTCCAAATTCATAAATCTCAATCTTCTAATCCGAGCTTCATGGATGATGGATGGATGACAACAATATTTCATAAACATGATTCATGCACTTCCATTGGGCGTATTCAACTAGCTAATTAATTAGGTGACATCTATTTAATTATCATGAGTGATGAAACATTGAAACCGAGAAGCCAAACGACATCATTAACCCCACCCGACTTCCCCTTTACTCACTATAAATAACTACTCATGTTATGTGTGCCTTATTTGTACTGCTAGCCAACTTTTCGCAAGATTTTCATTGTCCTTGCAATTTCTTTTCAAATCATCTACAATACAATCCTGGTTTGGCATGGCAAGTGCAAAGGTTAAGAAAGAGAGTGAGGGCCCAATAACGGTTAAGATCCAAATTGACCGCGGCGGACAAATTGGGCAGCAGTCTCGCAGTTTCACGATCCACATGGACGACCCATTAAGGCGTATCATGCTCGATTTCTGTGACTTTTTCAACCTCATTTACCCCTTACTCCGTTTCACCTTTGAAGGGTTGCGCATTCGCGAGTCACACACGGCCCGTGATTTGGGGATTGAGGATGGGGATGTTATTGATGTTTTCTCAGAGGCAACTGGGGGGTATATGCTAAAAATAAATAGTTAATGCGCTCATATCTATCTATCTATCTATTAAATAGTTAATCTATTAGTATATCAGATCGTGTATTGACTATTGAGTTCATAATGAGCTGAGCATTTGCAATCTTTGAGTGCTTCATCTCATTANAAATTCTAGTGCTTCTTCTATTAGTGAAGTTTCTAGAAAAAAAAAAAATATATCAAAGGGTCACTACGGAAACAGCCTCCCCCAGACCCCAACCTTTTGAGAATATACAGACCCCAACCTTTTGAGAATATACTGGGTATGTTGTTATTGTTGTTGCATATTATTATCCTAGTGTGTTTTAGTATTTTGTAGTTTTGTGTCTTTATGCTTTAAACATCAAAAACTTCAATAATAGTGATAATAATGATACTCAATTACATAACAAATATCCCAGGAATAACCAAAAAGGATGAAACTGTTGATTGATTCTGACAATGAAGGAAGATCTTGTGATTGTCCAAACCTCAGCACAACCTTGATGATTCATTCATGCATGCAAAGAGTAGTATCATTACAGTGGTGAAGCCAAACCAAATAACCGAAAATAATAATAATAATAATAATAATAATAATAATAATAATAATAATAATAATAATCAAGAAAAGAAAAAATAAATCTATACCAGTAAATAAAATGGAAAGAAGATTGCTACAAAGGACTCCCAGCCAACTGACCAGTTCTACAGAAACAAGCTGCCTAACCTCATTAACAATCAGCATAGAATATATTAAATATGTTAAGGAGATTTACAGACACACAACTTATCCAGACAAACCAACAACAACCAAAAAAAAAAGGAGAAAATGAAAGAAAAGAAACAAAAAAAGAGGGAGAGTTGGATAGTACAAAACTCCAATTCTATCCATGCCACAGACAAAGATAAAGGATCTCCAGACAATCTAATATTAGCCTGGCTAACCTCTCCAAACAACAATAAATAAACATAAAAATAGTAGACCCTTTCTTCCCTTGTTCTCGCCAAAAGAATGAAAAATCAGTACACAGAAAACACAAACCATGTGTGGCATCTATTTTCTGGTTTTTCTTTCTCCAGCTGCATTCTTATACTCCTTCCCAGGTGAAAACCTCGGCAGGTTCATGAGTGTGTTCACGCGTGAAACTCCTTCAAGAGCAGACCAATTTGTACCATTTTCAGCGTTCACACCGTTAGCATCGACATATTCATCTTGAGCTTCCGAAACTTCATCCTCTTCTCCAACAATCTCATCGTCAGTTTTATTATCCATGCCCGAGTGTTTTGATTTGGGAATATCGTATTTAGGTTTGGCATCATCGTTCTCATCAAGCGAAGGGCTATTATTGTCTTTGGTTTTGGTGGGAGTGTAATTAGTCTCATTTGATTCCAGAAAAAGGCAAACGGCTGCACAGTCATCGACTTTAGAAGTCGGATACTTGGACTTCCATGCCTTAACAGCCGTCTCGACAAGGGATCGAGCGGCATGTGAACGTGTAGGGCAAGAGCCCACGATTTCAACCACTTCCTTATTTGAGAGTACATCCCAAATCTGCAAGAAATTATTATATCGAAACAGTTAATATAAAACATAAATGAAGAAACTGCCTTCATGGTCAAATAAATGTTCCACAATAATAATAATAAGAAGAATAATTGAAGAAAATAAAAAAATAATAGGAAAAAAAAAAACACCATCTTTCAAACTTACAACTTAAAAGGCATTAAAAACAGCACCACTTAAAGATCAATTTTTCTTAACAAACATAACTCTTTTTTAGGGTGGAATTTGCAAAATAGAAACAAATTCTAAAGGGCATCAGTAACTTTGAAAATAGTATCATTTCAAGACTTTATCTGAAACTCAGCCTTAAATTCATAGCGACTAAATAATGAACCTAGTGTTTCATACCCCATCTGTGGCTAGGACGACAAACTCATCCTTATCGGTGATGCGTCTATAGGAAATTTCAGGCACGGAGATTACACCAAAGTCCTTCAGACAAAAATCACCAAATGCACGGGCCATAGCAAGGCCAGGAGAGTCATTATTAGGCAGCCACACTCTTGCAACATCAGGTTCATCACGAAGAGAAAAAACGCGTCCTTTACATTTGCGAATCCTCTCTGCTTCCGCTGAAAACAAGTAAAGATTAGGTTTCAGAAAGTGAACATCTAAACCGATTTAGTATGTCATTTTTTGAAATTGCAAGTTAGAGATCCTGAAAACAAGCTTCCATTTTATTGAATAATTCAGGCCCTGAAAACAAGTAAAGAACAACATTGACCAAATAAAATGCAAAATTCATATCATATCAATATTATGAAACTGATGTAAGAAAAACTGGAAGGAGGGCGTCAGGAAGACACAGATTGGTAAATATAGATACATGAACCAAAATCTTCAAAGTTAGGTAATTAGTACATGATAAATATCAACCTATTACATCATACTAATTTGAGGTTTTCTATCATTGACATCCTAAAGATATGTTTTAAGGAAAGAAAAAATATCTCTACCTGGAAGATTAGGTTTGAGATCCACAGTCAACTGGACTGCAGTAAGTAAATTGTTCTCATCTCTTGTACCTAATACAGCCCTCGAGTCCCCAACATTTCCAATTACAATATCTTGGCCCTGCAGAGGCATATAAAGACACTCATCAACACAATCACCACATATAAAATCACAATCCACAACCGAAAACTGTATAAGAATACCTGTTTCACCAGAGTAACAGCTGTTGTTCCACTACAGAAGCAGTCGATATTCGAATGGATTCTCAACTCCCTGTCCATGACCTTAAAGGCCTTCAGGAACGACTCTTTCAGGGTTTCAAAAATCTCTGGCAGCTTTTTGTTTTCTTCTACATCAGTTGAAGCTCGACTAGCTTCCTCATCAGCAGATACAAAGGAAGTTCCTTCTGAACATAAACTATTAGTAGTGTTCAAACTGACATCCCTAAGAACCTCGTCACTCTTAATGTTGACTTCCCAGTATGAGCTCAGCTTCAAGGGAAGAGAATCTCTTACTCGCTTTGCAACCAAATGACCATAAGGACCATGGCCGTCGAAAATCCCACAGAAGACAGTGTCTGTTTTTGAAGCAAAGTTCTGCATATTCAATCTCACAAAGAATCAACAAAACCTGTTTCTTGCACGACAAAACTAGCATAGTGCTTCAAGATTAATAGAGGTTCAATACATTCATGCCTAATGAGAACAAAATTACAATGAGAAATTCAATTACGAGTTAGGGAAATTAATTCCTCTTAAAATGAGTTATTCACTTCAAAATATATCTTCTGGAGGTAAACACAGATGCTTATCAGTAAGAAAAGAGAATATAGGACTTCCTTGTTTCTAGGATGACAACTTCAATGTATAGCAGGCACAAATCTGCTCCAACAGTGTTCATGTCCACGAGCTAGGCCAAATTCAGAGGGTGTTAAGGATGAGAATATCCATAAAACATACTTCAATCACGAAAGGGGCACAAGAAATCATGAGTCTTAGGCTATGTTTGTTAACCAAATAGCTAGCTTATATAAGATTCCTGTATTCAAATAAGTTTCCGTTGGTTGGACAAGTTTTTTTAAAAAGCTCGAGTTTATCTCATAAGCTTCTTTGGGTACTTTTTCAAGTAAGCTCGTTGAAATTTTTATTTCAGCTAATTTTACCAAACACTTTTATCATATAAGCTAGTTTTTCAGCTATAAGTCATAAGTTATAAGCTATAAACTCGAAAATCACTTATAAACTATAATATAACTACTCAGCTAGTTTCCAAAAATAGCCTTAGACTATGCAATAGGTTTAACAAATCCACTCAATAGACCTTAGAATTGAAAACACATGACTAAATGGCCACAAAGCTTATTATTAGTACCCCTTTGGGCAAGTAAAGACATGACACATCAATAATGAAATATTAACTAGACATAGCAAATGATAACCGGGCCTAACCTCCCAAACAACCATGGCATCTTGATTAGTCCCTTTCTTGCCCTGTTGCGTAAAGAGTGAAGCAATCTCGCTCGAACCATTCAAGAACATCCGACCAGGGGTCCTATGCAGTCTTTCCTCCCACCTATACTCAAATGAACTTTGAGACCCAAACTTCCTTTTCGAGCTCTTTCTTCTTCTAAGACTCGCTGGAGACCCGGGCCCAGGGCTCCGGCTCTCGCTTGATAGACAGGAACCCATTCTCAGGGCCCTGATTATATTCAGTAGGCACTCCAGAGCAGCCACACAATCACACCCACTGTTTTCTGTGCTTGGATCCGTCACGAAAGACTATACAAATACCCTCTCAATGATCTTGCTATGTACACAGAAAGATCACTCAATGAATGAATTCAAACACTTGAACCTTTCCACAGCATGTCTTGGATTTTCTAGAAAATGATATATCAACACAACAGCACTATGAATTTGGCCCAATTTATCTATAAATACAGCCCTCCAAGTGGGCGAAATTCAGACTTCTCTTCCGATGAGTTATACAAAAGTAAACTTCTCATCCACAAAAGCACGCAAATTTTTAACTACCCTTTTTCTGAACACGGGCCATGTAGAAAGAGTACGGGCAGTAGGACATATAATAATGACAGAATCCACAGCAGTTTGCTCTAACTTTTGTTTTTTTTTTTTTCGATTCTATTCAAATAATAACTATGGCCAAAAGCTTGAAAATGTTACTCACGACGAAGACAAAAAAACAGATCTGTAAGAAAATGTTATGCCCTTTACACAAATTACATGAAAAAACAGCCTAAATGGTTTTGCGACCGGTGAATTGCTCAAACAAACATAAATATCAGGTAAATCAATCAGAAATAAGGATCAAACCCCACTCAAGCGCATTTCTGTATAGGGCAAAGCGAGAACTTTTTTTTTTTTTAATTTCGATTCCTACAAACACAAAAGGAAAAGAGAAACTCAAATCTTTCCTACCCAGTAGATCAAACCCAAAAATAACGAAAACTAGCTCGCTGGAAAATTCAGCAAAAGATTGAAGCCTGAAACCCGACCGAGGTGTGTTTTTCTTACAAATTTGGTCAGAAGAACATGGAGAAACACAAGGCGACGGCCAAGGAAAAGGATGAGAGAGATATAATTACACCAGGATGAGATCGTTATACGATTTGTACATTTACAGAAGAAACGAAAGACACAGGAGGGAGAGAAAGAGAGTCGTCTCCGTCATTTCAAGCATTTATTAGGATATTATTATATATAGAGAGAGAGACACAGAGAGAGAGCACATTTTTAATTTTTTTTTTACAAATGTAGGTGTTGTAGGAACATCCCCTCTATATATAATTTCAGAATGCGCTGAACCTACGTGGCAAATTCTCATGTTTTGGAATCCTATTTGACAAAAAATCATGCTTTGGAGTTAGGCTTGGATATAAATTAATATTTGTATTAATTGTATTTTAATATCATTTCCTATTATAACCATTGAATTGCAAATATATTTTAAAAGTTGATAACTTTTGTATTTCTTATCGGTTTTACATATATAATATATCAAATTAATCATCTTTTGATGAGCTTCAATTTGACATCCATATTGTATATATAAAATAAATAAATTATATTTATCTTTATAATAATAAAAAAATTATCTATTAAAATTAATTAAAAAATAAAATTATTTATCAATTAATATTTTGCTTAATATTAAATAAACATATTCTACACTTATGCATATACATATCACCATAATATTTCTATTTACTTAAGATATATATTTTTGTACTTATGTAATAGTAGATAATATCGATATTATTATGATATAAGTAAAAAAATTCAACACGGGTTGACATTTTCATATACATATTATATATATAAAATACATAAATTATATTTATCTCTATAATAATAATAAAATTATTTATTACAATTAATTAGAAAATAAAATTATTTATCAATTAATATTTTTCATAATATTAAATAAACATATTCTACACTTATGCATATACATATCACCATAATATTTCTATTTACTTAAGATATATATTTTTTTACTTATGTAATAGTAAATAATATCGATATTATTATATGATATAAGTAAACAAATTCAACACGGGTTGACATTTTTATTTAATGTACAAGTGTTTACTTATTATGATTAAAAAAATATAATTTGACAATTTAATTAAAACCCAAAGTAGTGTTTTATATAAAATTAGATTATTTAAATTTTTAAAAAAATAAAAAAATAATATTTCTTACAAAAATTTTCTAATTCAACACCCGTGTAATACACTGGGTATTGCACTAGTTACATGAGATTACGATAATCGATTGTAGTATTATTTATCTTTGTCCTTTGAATGGACGTTATTAAAGACAACATAAAATGTATTAATACGTATTTGTGTGGGCGGACGTACTCGCCAAACATTATCTTTTTAATTATTTATTAAAGGATAAATAATTTTTATATTCAGTATATAACAAATGAACAATCTCATGTAATATGGTATACTTTATCAACCACAAGACCTAAGGCGACTTTCGGGCAGCTCGGACAATTCGAGTGGATCAATAGCTCAGTCAATGGTCTGTCAACATAAAGACTCAAGATCAAGTGAAATCGACATAGTGGGCCACTGCCCCAAGGAACGGGACAACGCAGGGGGCTGCTGGTCGCTATAGATTATTTTATCAGCCGAGGCCTTGGTTAGTATAACGAAGAAAAGGGTGTTGAGTTTCCTTTTCTCGAGCACATCATATGTAGTCGATACATTGATATTCGACAATGGCACTAAGTTTAATCAAGGTTGATTTTTATATTGATTGAAAAGTCGACCTCTTAATATGAAAATAATGGCAATGTCGCCTGAAAGCCGATTCCAGTTCAAGGGAATCATTTCATGTCTACATGAATCCGAACCTGTTCCAGTTTTGAAATAATAGAAGTTGATGAAATGGTTGTACATTGAAAAAAATAATTGCATGCAACAGTGGATGAACTTACAAATCCAATTTTACATAATAATACAATCATTGAACAACACGATCAGTTACACAAACCAAAGATACATAGAAGAAAGGATGATTATTAACACAACTCCACAGAACTCACCATAAACGTACGCCATATTGAAATAGAAAATATAAAAGGAGTCGTCTATGGAGTAATGTAGAGTGTGAAATGCGTGATGGTCTCGACCCCATCAGTCGTGTGCTGATCCTCATGTGGAAGAGTCTCGATTGTAGCATACCCCTTCACATTCCCATACTTGCCAGTCCCACCCACAATAGCGAGATGAGAAATGGGAGTAGCCGTCCTGTGGACCCCAAAGAAGCTGACTGTATCATCACCGTCCACGTCATCACCACCACCATGGAAAAGCACAGTCAGCACGAGCGTGTGGGTTGTACCGTCAGACGAGCTAGTAATGTAAAATCCCTGAGCCCGACCAAGCACAGCTGTACCCAGCTCGTGCCCTTCGGTGATCTCATTATCGACAACAGTGATTGAGCCGAACATGAGTTGCTGGAGGCTAAGGCCTCGAGGAAGCTGCCCAGCCGTGACAAAAGCCTGCTGCTGTTGTTGTTGCTGCTGTTGTTGGGTGTTGCCGTTGAGGCCGATTAGGAATGGATAGTTGTTATTGTTTATGGCGCCGTTGATTGTGTTTAGAGGGACTCCTCCGTTGATGGGGAATATTTGGTTGTTGGCTTTTGAGAAAGGGAGGTTGTTGGCATCTGAGTTGGCTACGACTCCGGTCACTACTCGGCCGGAGGGTCGTGAGCCGCCGAGGATGTCGTGCATGAAGAAGGTGATTGGCGGTGGTGATGTGGCGGAGGAAGGTGGTGATACTGTGTGGGCTGGTGCAGGTGCTATGAGTGGATCTGCGGCCGACTCTGGTGCATCTGCTGGGAACAGAGGAGTCTGTGAGTTGAGTTCGTCGAGAATTCTTGCGGAGCAAATTAGAGTGGTGGAAAGTAGTAATAGGCAAGTGAAGAAGGTGAGGGGTGATGACTTCTTGGAGAGTTTAGCCATTTTTTGAGAATATGTGTCTTTCAAAAGTTTATGTGAATGTTGAAGAATGAGTGATTTCTTGGTGTGAAGAATAAGGGGTGTCACGAGAGTGTTATATAGTCCATATGGAAAGTGGAGCTGATGACATGGAGTTGGTGAAATGCACTTTTTATTTCAAGTGTGATTGGTGGAGAAACCTAAACTCTTTCATTGCTCAGGTTTTAGTTAACTACTTAGTGTAGGTCAAGATTATGAGAACAAAACAAAACCAAGATAATATGAGACTTCCATTGTGGTGCTTGGATAAAATAAAGGAAGAGCATTTTTAAACAAAAGCGGCCGAATTCCATTTCTAAACAAAAATTTGCTTGTGTTTCACATAATGCACAAATATGCAGCTGAGCATTCAATCACAAAGAACATCTCACAAGGCGAAAGGCCTTTCCTTTTATCCTGCATTATCGACATCCATTTTCGAGGCACAACAAAGATTTTACACACAATTTATAAACAGAGTGAAAAATCAAAAAACCATAAAACATATTGCTCAATGTGCGAATCATAATTTCGGTTTTCTTAGCAAAAGTCATACAAGTAAGGACACAACCATATATGGATTCACAACCAAATTCACATAATCGAGCCTAAAGAAAATGCAGAAAGTAAAAAAATTTCCTCACCGTCAAATTCCTCTTCCTCCGAGAACGGAAAATATCCAATCACGTCTCTGGGTAATTCGTGATATCCCATTCCCTCGCAAAGGTAAAACTTCCTCAGTAAATCCCAATCCTCCGACGGCAGAAATTGCCCAGTCTCTCCGCCGCCACGCGCCACCGATTCATATCCTCATCCTCTCCGAAGCTGCTGCGGCCGCCGACGTCGCTCGAAGACCGACGAACGACGTCGTACGGGGCCCCATACTCCTCGTCCGTCCCACCTTCATCTTCGCCGTCGAGGCGGAGGGAATTGGCGATAGACCGAGCCAGCCATGACATGTTCGTATGGCGTCGTTTTACTGACTTGTCTGACCGGGTTGTCAGCGGCGAGGAACTCCTCCGATCCGGTCTGCGCGCCGGCGATTACTACGAGCAGCGTTAGGCGCGGGCCCTGGGTCTGAGTTTCAAGCTCCAACGAGGGAAAGGGTTCGGAGTGAGGAACAGCGGCGGAGGCCATTGTGTGGCTGCGGGGCATTTTCTTCGGCATGAGGTGGTGCTCAGAGATAAAGTGGTTTAGGGTACAAATTTGGACCGAAGAGAGAAAAAACCGTCCTCAAAACGGCGTCGTTTTCATCCAATTTGCAGCCTTACACATCTTATCCGATAGACATTGATATTCTGTGGTGTTGGACAATCACACATCACCTAATTAAACACACCAGCAGACGAACACAAAAGATCTTCCCCAAACAGCTTAGCTTTCATCGAGATATTTGCACAATGGGTAGAGTCAGAGTTTGTAGACAGAGAGAAAAGACATGACCCCTACTAACTCTCTACATTCTTCTTCTTCTTCTGCAGTCAGCTTAAATCTATCACTGCCATCCCATGCACTGATGAACAATACGAGGTCGTCTACTTTTATTAATCCTCGTATTCAATTTGGACCTAATATCAAGCCTCAAAATGCTTTCTTCTTTCATTGTCTTCGATCATCCACCATCTCCCTCCGAGGTAAATTTTCGATATTTCCACATTCCCACTGTTTGAGCTGGTCTCGATTACAAAGAGTAATATTTTGTGTGGTTGGTTCTGTTTGTTTTGGTATGCTTATGCCAAATAAAAAGCCTTGATCAAGTGTCAAAATCAACGTGTAAGCTAACAATATGAATCTTGATACAAGCAATTAAGTTGTTTGATCTTGCACAGTTGCAAAAGAGTCGAGTAGGACAGATGTGTCCCCTGATGAAAGATCAGAGGCCGACAAGATTGTGGACAGTATGGATTTTGGTGAGCTCTGCAATGAGTTTGAGTGCATTAGCAGCCCTTTGGTTGAATCGAGTGCCAGACAACTCGTTCGCGACATTCTTGAACTTCGCCAAGGCAATCGGGCCATTGGAACTTATGCTGTTTCTGTTAGATATAAGGTACTCTTATATTTTTTGGAATGCATCATTCTTCAGTTCCTGTGAAAATATTTTGGGTGGATATTTATATTTCTTAGCTAAGAATGGTCTTTTAGGTTTGGTGCTATTAGCTGGCTTTCGATTTCCATCTATAGTAATTCATTTCTATTTATACAATATCATTAACTGAACAACACATCAACAATCGTATACGCCTTTTATATCGCAAAACAAAATATCATTCTTTTCATTACAAGAATCGGAGGCATCAACTTTTAACCTTAAATACACATTTCATACCCGATTGAGTCCTTATTTTCTCAAGCAATTAATCTTCTCGCGCCAAAAATCTCTTCGCAATATCAGGGTTTTCAGATCGATGAAATAATTCTTGCAATATATTTATGAAAAACTTAATTGCAGGACCCAGTTCGAAGCTTTACAGGTAGAGAGAAGTACAAGAGACGGTTGTGGGCAACTGATGCACTAGAGAATCCCACCGTGGTGAGTCTTCAGACATTANAACTATATGTTCAATGGACTTTTGCATTAATAATGAGCATGTTTATAATATTCCAAGCTCTATATGGTTAGTTTTACGTCACAATCTTGAAGATCACAATTAAGCAGCTTACTTTTGCAGAGTGTGCAGCAGATGGTGATGTTATCAACAAGCTTGTTAAATATCAAGTGGACTTTGAAAGGAAAGCCCAAGTCTCCAATTTTCTTTATTGGTGGTGACTTGATTGTCAAAGTGGACTCGAAATTCACTCTGAATCAAATCAGTGGTCAAGTGATCGAGCACGAAGAGTTATGGGACTTGTCGTCATCATCCCTCGTTTCTCAAGCATATTTTTGGGCTTCGAGGAGGCTCTTTGCCTCATTCGAAGTCTTAAACGATTTTTCAGACTTCATTAAGGATCTTGCAAATCGTGTGACGACAGAGAGCAAGAATATTGAAATGTCTCCCGATCCAAGCGGTGATCCAACAAAGGTAAAATGCCTTTCCAAGAAAATTCATTTTTCGTAAATCCTTACACACTATTAATGTTCAGTCCTTACAGTAACTATTGTAAGGCACAGCTTTACATAAAATTTGTTTATTAGTCAGATAAATTAAAAGGGCACTTTCTGCAATCAACCCAACTAATATCATCACTATATAAGCATATCATTGGCTGGTGACTCGAAATATGTTTGTTTTGTTCAGTTTTTCCAGAGGGATGAAAGCTTTCAGAGAGATCTGTACCAGATTGCCCTGTTTCTAGCAATTGTATATTTTGTTGTACAGTATCTGAGAACAACCTTGTGAAGCGTGCACATACTATCCTGTAAGCTTGCAAAAAATATCCTTGAATTTTGTATGAATAACTAGCCTACACTATCCATTTACCGTGCTGTACTCAGGTTATACATTAGTTATGCTGTTCATTGTATATTCCAGTCTTGCATTCTGTGTATGAAGAAGATCTACATTATATGCCTTTTCTGTTTGTTTAATTAACAGTATGTGTATAATAGATTAGTTTCTGTAAATTATCCTGTGGGACAAAAGATTGATGGAACCCTTATTAATCCTTTTGGTGCTACAAGCAGATAATGTTTGGGGTTCAATCAAACAAAAGAAAAAACAATTGTCCCAGAGAAGAAGAGGGGAAAAGATGTCCAAAGTTGCCCCCAAACTTCTATTCATTATTGTTCAAAGGATCGGTACAAATCACCTTCAGATCAAAGATTTCTTTATGATCTGCATAAACTATTGTGTCTAGGTTGTGTTATAAATTAAATATATAAATAACATATATTACAATTATAGTTTACTATAAATAAATAAAATTCATATTAAACTAACATACTTCATTGAACATCTTCTCATAAAAGCATTATTAGTTTGATTATTTGAACTGCATTATATCCTAACAAAATATTATGAATGCGAAATTCATATTTAACCTCGAAATTTCAATTTTTGTTTTGGCCAAGTTGACCTATGATAAAAAATGAAACCTTGGTCTATACCAAGTAAATTACTTCTTTTAAATTTGAATAGAAAGAAAATTCTAAAAGAAAAACCAGAAGAAGAAAAACCAGAAGAAGAAAAACCAGAAGAAGAAGAAAAGTTTGGAAAGTCAGGCGTGAAAAAGGAAACAAAATACAAAATCGATAGGCAAAGAGAGCAAGGTGCAGAGTTGATAATGCAAAATGAGGAGTTTCAGCTGGGCTGGGACCTACCTGGTTATTATATATCCAACCTAATCTGGCAGGTTGACAAGACAAGTTATACCCTGGTTAAAGTCAAGGGGGCTGCAATACACCTCTTAAACTTCCTGATTAGGATGTATAAGAAAACGATGCAGTTACGTTTGATAGTTTCTGATTCTTTTATAACTTTGCCCTCTTTGTTAACCGAGGGAACAAACCGGAGACGGACGACCACGGTCCCGGGATGCAACCTTATTTATGTCAAATTTTTTATTGTTTTTTTTTTTTGATTGGAAAAGGAACTTATATTAAGTGATCAAAATATAATCCTTACATACAAAATCCTTAAGTAAAATGCTTTTCCTTCTTGCCTTATTCTCCGATTTGTATTGGGACTACTTGGTCTCGCGGATTGTACATTTTATTTGATATTAATCTATCTATCGTTTTGGGAAAAAAAAAAGAAGGAAAAGCATCCACCTTCCAAACGAAAGGAGAACTTGAAAACGAAGCAAGAGACGCAATGGCATGAGCAACTTTGTTTGCCGATCGACGCATATGGTGAAGTTGTCTTGTAGTTGCTGATGCTTCAGACAAATAATCACAAATATTATTCGCCCATGAACGAGTGTAGCCATGTGACTCATTGATGTCGGCAACTGCTTGTACCGCCAACAATGAGTCCGAAAATATCTGCATAGGAATTTGCTTGAGTTCACCACAAGTTTCCAAACCTTGTTTAATGTCTACGCAACGATAGCTTTGAAACAACTGCACTATAATACACTCACAAGACTTAATACTATAATACTCCCACAAATGGATAATACTAGCTCCAACAAGTGGAGAATTCTTGCTCTTAATAGCGAGAATAAAACTACAAAACAACACCCTACAAAACACAAACAACTAACACCACCCTAGACACTAGAATAAAGCCCTCCTCAACCACCAACAAATGTCTCGAATCACCACCACACGAGCCAACACCCAAAGGCGACCCCCACAAAAGATAGATCCTCGGCCCTAGCCACAGATCTAGAAACTCCAAACTACAACTAACTTGATTCGGGCAGAACAAGCCATAACTCTTGCCAAAAGAGCCTCCCCGGAACAACACCAAGAGATCAGCACCCAAAACCACCCCAACACCAAACTTGCGAGGGATATCGACCACTAAAGGCGATCGGACCCTTCCACCTTACCACCAGAGGCAGAACGGATCCAGTGGAGCAAAAAGGAGTCAGTCTCAACCACATCAGCTACAGAAGCAGCGGACGGCGCCGGCGACCACAAACTTGCCGCCCAAACGTCGGACCCACACCAGGAACCCGCCATGGCCACCAAACAAAAGGGGAATCATCACGCAGGATGGCTTTTGACTACTAGATGGGAAACTCGCCAACACCCCGGTGCCGGTCAACTCCGCGACAGAAAAGAGGGCCCGACGAAGAGGAGGCAGGGCATCGAAAAGAAAGACGGCAGGAAAGAGAGAATTTGAGGATTTTTACCAGAGGAGAACCAAAAAAANGTAAAAGACAAAATATTAAGATTTTAAATTGTAGAATTAAACATAAAATTAATTATTTTTTTATTTCTTGAAAAAAAAAAATCAATTAATAGATTATGCAATTGACTCAATGACGTGAATGTCAGCATGTGTTAGTACCGAATTGAGATATTTTTCATATTAATAATATATTTATCATTTGTAATTCATATAAGCTATTAAATATCTAAAATTCTACGTCCGCCCATGGGCCGTGATTGTATGACTATCTAATAGTTACAGTTATATTTATTCAGTTAAAGTACATGCTTTCACAATCGAATATTACACTTTAAATAGTGACTTTATAGTATATGTATGGTTTTTTGAAAAAAAAAAAATATAAATATAAATGTCTAATGGTTAACTTAAACAACCTAACAGCGGTATTTATATAATTCACTCCAATGTCATATATACACTAATATTTGATGTGTTTTGTGAAAATTAGCGTCAGATTCTAAATCTATTTAATTGGTCGATTTAATCCAATAATACTGGCTTAATATTTGTCTTTAAAGTATTAAAAACCAAAAAAAAAGTATAAACAAAAGGAAAAAAAATTATCTCCACAGAGCATTAACAGATAACATGGCAAATGTAGGGTTTACAAATTACAAACACCAACGTTTAGATGGGCAGATATGAACTCCACACTAATTCTCATATGACAGCATATGATGGATTAAGATAATGTAAAAAACTTGGTATATTGACCATAAAAATCACTGACCCCTTTTTGACAGCAAAATTTTCTGCTAAATAGGTGAATACCACCACTACTGTCTAGTATTCTTGGGCCTTTTGTCTTAATTCGTTGAGCTCTTTCTCAACATCTGGATCTTGAAACTTAAGGCTGCTAACTGGTGTTCTTCCTGCTGGAAGGTCTCCCTTCTGTAAAAATCACGAATTTTATGGGAATTAACATAATCGAGGTTTGGCTTATCTAGACAAAACACAGTTAAAAAATTTACTCCCTTTGAGTCTTATGTCGCCAGTTATTGGAGATCCCCATTTTCCTGACAACTTAGATATGCATATTGGACTTTCTCCATTAACGAGCAGGAATTGCCGAGGTATTTGTGCAAATAGGTAAATATTGTAAAAATCAATAATGTACTCGTAGTTTTAAAAGCTATCTGCATACACATGTCAAGCAGATCAGCTTGCTTTTAACGAGTAATCGAGTATACAAACCCACATGGCTGAGATATTTGGGCCGTG